GGAATAGGGTGTATATAGGGGATTCCGTCTCTGTCCCCTTTATAGTCTCTTGAAATAGCAGATGTTGTCCGTCGAGTTGTCTTCTTGCTATGTTTTTAGACAATAGTTCGTCGTGAAATCAGTAAAATGTTCCGCCGACTGTTCGGCCATTTTTCTTTTCACAATCATAACAATTCAACCTCGTCCCCAGGTCTTCTCGGTTAACGGTACATTCACCTCCAACTGTGCTGCACTTTTGACGTCATCGGTTGATAATTAATCTCAAAATTCTTCCATATTTGGTCAACAGTAGCTGTTTATGGTGAATTATGCGTGTGCTTTTAGCCAATCAGAAACGGAGAAATATTTTGAATGAATAATAATATCACTTTTCATTTTTCAGTTAACTACTAATTTTTTGGCCAATTATCAGTTAACTACTGTTTTTTTGGCCAAATATCAGATAACTGTTAATCCCATTCGCACCCTCTAAGAATGTTCAATTCCGTATTTTCTAGTGTAGGTAGCCAGCCAAGCTCAAGGACGTCCCTTTCTGAGCAGAAACTATTCAAGACAAAACCAGCAGCAGCATTCTGAACGCGTTGTACTCTTTTCTGCAGATATGCGGGAAGTGGATAAGTCACGGAGACATTAAAGTTAAGTTTGGATAGCACGAGGATTTGAACAAGAGACTTCTTAGTATCTGTGGTGTCATATTCTTGATCTTTCTTATAGTGCGGCTAGCACTTTATAGCATGATGATGTGACCTCATTTACACGTTCTGTCCATTTAAGGTCCTCAATAAGCCAAGTTACTAACAACTTAAATTTCCCTTCCCTATCAATTAACTGTCTTATGTTTCAAGGTGAGAGGGGGAGTGTATCCGTTAAGATTATGCACTTTATAGACACCTCCTTGATGGTAATAACCGTCTGCTTACCAATAATAAGTTATGGAAAATAGGTTGCATCCAAGAGGATAAATGTTTACTACGCAAAACGGATTCGGAATCCCTTTACCTCATCTTTTTCGAAAGCAGACACACCAAGCAGTTTTGGAAGGAATTTCAATATTACTTTTACACATTGACAAGAGAATTCGTCTTTCTGGCCTTGCAATTACCGGAATATTATATACAAATTGTCCTAAGCTGAATTATTTGATACTGATCGCTAAACTATACTGATGGGGTTGTAGAAGAAATCAGACTCTTCCAAGTACAACTGCCTTTTCATCCAAGGTTAAAATTAAGTATGAAACAGAAAAGGCTATATGCGTTAAAACAAATGAAATGGACAATTTTAATAAGAAGTGGGCTCTGCCTTTGGACTCTATACCCTAGTAACGCGTATACTCCGAACGTTTTTTTTTTGTATAGTTACTTTAGTGTTAAAGTTTAGAGCGGTTTTCACTTGACTGTCGAAAGTAATTGAGGAATTGGTTTGGTTTTGGTTTTACTACGCCCTTTGGTTGGCTAGTGTATTTACTTTGGTTTTGGTTTTACGACAGTCAAGTGAAAACCGCTATTTTATTAAAGCACTGAGGTTACGACAACTTCGAGTTAAACTGATTTCACGGGTTGTCAAAGAGTCCAGCGATTCCTTTTTCCCAGGTGAGCGCCGACTTATTTCGCTTCAATATTCAGGAAATTGCTCTCGATCTTTCTACGCTTTCATTGTCTCTCGCCCGACATGTTTTGCACGGCGTTTGGTCATGCGAAACCTCCACGAAACATCCACGCCTCGCGCGAAGTAACTTTATCCCGATTCTAAAAATAACTCGAGACGAATTACCTATGGAATAGGGTGTATATGGGGGATTCCCTCTCTGTCCCCTTTATAGTCTCTTGATTACAGATATCAGCGGGACAGAAAAATGTCAGAAAATAGCATTACTGTTTCCAAAACTTTGTTGCTTTCATTAACATTGATATAATTAGCAATTAATGAATGAGGATATGAAGAATTATGCAGATCGAGGAGGGTGGATAACACCCTCCGAGATCTGCATAATTCTTTTTAGTATATACACACTCAGGGATCTTGGTGATTTAAGGAATCCGATTGGTTCGCTATCTCGGACTATTCAACACTTATTCACCTCCTAGCGAGTGGATAATGTGTGAGCTCGGTGTTTTTCCCATTTTTTTAGAGAACGATCTTTTAAAAGTCAACGAAATCCGAGGGTTGACTTTTTTTAAAAGCAAGAAAAGACTTAGAAGGATTCAAAACGGCGTTTTTCCCATTTACTGTAGCTAAGTTTTGTGCTCGATGGATTGTTTACAACTCCCGTTTATTCGCGTAGAAGAAGCCGTTTCGTGAACCAGGTTATGAGCTCCTGCGTGAACTCTATGTTTCCTTACAAGAAAATTTGGCCCAAAAATCGAAGTTTATTAATTTTATGGCAAACTAATTTGAAAGCAAATGTTTGCAAAAATTCTACGTTTCAAATTAATAGGAAAAAGAACGGTACGGGAAGACGAAGTCTTACTTCGAGCAACCGAACCGCCATTTTTGTAGCACCTCATGCGAAGAAACAAACAAACCCTTTAGGCTATAAACTTGGCGAGTCAACAGAAAAAAGCAAAGCTCTACTTTTCTTCTCAGGTAAGGAAACAATTCAGACTTTAACGGTTCCAGTTTAAGCCATTACGCTGTTGTTTGCTAAGTGGTAAACTTATGAATTGCCATGTTTGAAAATTCTACAAAGATCGGTTTTTAAACTTTCGCGTGATTTGATCGGTCAATCAAATCGTACTTTTTAATGCTTTCCTCTCTGATTTTTTTGAGATCACTTCGTGTGTATATACTAAAACAAGCATTCTTTTCAATCTCGGTGAATAGTGGGAATATTAGGAATATTTACCTCGCCGCTTCGCTCCTCGGTAAATATATTGCCACTATTCACCTCGATTTCAAAGAATAATTGTTAAATATCCTACGAAAACTGAATTCCTTAATTGCTTTATTATTCACTCAAAATAATTCATAGTGCAAAAACAAGCTAAAACATGATTACCTTCGTCGATGTTAAGTTCACCTCGTCAGTGCATGTTTAGAAGATAAAGGGCTGTTCAGGTCTGCAAATATACTCCAAATAGCAGATGTTGTCCGTCGAGTTGTCTTCTTGCTATGTTTTTAGACAATAGTTCGTCGTGAAATCAGTAAAATGTTCCGCCGACTGTTCGGCCATTTTTCTTTTCACAATCATAACAATTCAACCTCGTCGGTTTTCACTTGACTGTCGAAAGTAATTGAGGAATTGGTTTGGTTTTGGTTTTACTACGCCCTTTGGTTGGCTAGTGTATTTACTTTGGTTTTGGTTTTACGACAGTCAAGTGAAAACCGCTCTATAATGTAATGTATTGTATTTGTAATGTATTGTAGTGCAATATTATGCAATGCCAGGTAACGTTAGTATTGTAACGCTGTGGAGTATTTAATAAAAGTTTGAAATAATGATAAGCTCCAGCCGGTGGTGGGGGGAGGGAAGACTGAGGTACGAGAAACAAGAGGTTCCCCTCTCCGAGTCCCCTTGAGTTTTTACTCACGCTAGGCCAGGGAGGCCTTCATTGAATAACACTTCCACCGTGTTTTCTCCAGAAAAAGCTCACTTTTTCATTTTAGATCTCTAAAGCGGAGAGTCACATATCGAAGAGGTGTTCAAACTATAGCGGATAGCTTTTGTGTCAACATAGCCTCGGAGAGATCTCCTTGCTGTGTATATGTTACCGTGTGAACGAGTAAGGGCCTGTCGACATGGAGGTGAGGGACCCCAGGTAGGTGAGGTAACCCGCTTAGGTGGGGTAACCCCGCCTGTCCATATAATCTTTTATTTTAATTTGATCACGTTTACATGATGGGTGGGGTGACCCACCACATGTTACCTCACCTATCTGGGGTCCCCCACCTCCATGTAAACAGGCTCGACGTATGAACACGCGCAATCGCAACCATTATTAGCGATACCCAATCGTCGCCGCCATCCAACAATTTTCCTTGGGTATTTATTTCTTCTAGAAACATTGAGTCGCATTTAACAAAATCGCATAGAAATTCTAAGAGCATTCCTATTTATGTCAGTTTACTGCCGCTGAGAGAGATTGGCTTGCTGTGTATGTTACCGTATGAACGAGTAACTATGAACACGAGCGTGCGCAACTATCATTAGCGATCGACCCCATCCCCCTCGTCGCCCAACCATTTTCCTTGGGTATTAATAGAGCCTTTTTACATGACATCACGGCGGCCATAGTTCCAAGACAACGAAACGTCTGCCATGTTGGGGTTCCAAAGCAGTCCTGTGGGAGTTGACTTTTTTTATGAAAACGCTTTCTTTTGGTCCAATAAATTTGCATAGATGCTGGTCACGTGACTATTCATTTTAGATACATAAAACGAACTTTTAGTCACTAAATTAAATTTTATATCCAGCTCCGCCCAATTTAAAAAACTAAATGTCACTTCAGCTTCATTGATATGTTGTGGGTGTCCTCCGTGAATACTTCACCTTGAGTATGTCACCTACTTCATCGATGGCTTCCAGCGCCTAAAAAACAACCAGATAATCCTTAGACAACACAACAAACCAAAAGGCTAAGGCATGCAGACAACTACAATTACAAATAATTTATGACAAAGCAGGGGCGTAACTAGGATTTTCTAGAGGTACGCACAATTTTCCAGATACCTCTAACCCACCCTCCCCTTACAACAGCATGTTGATGCTTTATATATGTACGCGTTTTTCCCGCCTTTTTTTCTGAATGTATCGATCCACTAATAAATCACGCGTTTCTTCTCCGGAAACCGAAATTTGGGTGTAAAAAGGAAAAGTCTGTTGTTTTAGGAAAAGATTATTTCATAAAAATAAGCAGAATTAAATGAATTAAGAAATGTTGTGCTTTTTAATCTATTTTATTTTTTCCAGAAAATTCGTTTTTTAATCTATATAATTATATATTTTTTGGTATGCACGTGCGTACCGTCCGTACAGTTAGCCACACCCTTGCAAAGAGACCTTAGCTTACCCTGTCTAACATTTCTCTCGAGTGTGATGCTGAGAGACAGATTCTCGCCCGGGCTTCGATTATGGAGGTGGCAGGAAACCCAACTATTACTACAGCTATGTTTCTTTTCAACAATTCCCTAGAGAAGGCGCTGAAAGAGAGTATAGATGGATTGTGAGTGACAACACTTGGGACAGATGCAAAAACATCTTCGCATACGCATGCAAAAGTGCAGAAAGACATTAAGCAACATTTCAATAAGACAAGAAATAAATCTTCTATAAAGTTAAAGCTTGACTTACACGCATTTTGCCGGCAAGTAAAGAAGAATGGGCACCACTGCTGAAGCTTCATGGCCATACACGATAAATCCCATGTCTTTCAATCTTTGTCTAAAGTACCTGTTAAACAGCGGCGTGTAAGAGCGAGGTTCAAATCTAAAGCATTTATATTCTTTAGAAATTTTAACTAAGCTTTTATTTATCTTTGTACTGAATCAAAAGTCATATATCTATCTCCACCACTATTAGTTCCACCACTTTTGCTAATCTCAAAAAGCGTCTTCGGGACCTTCCTTCTTTCTCATACCGTTGAAACTGCCTGTGAAATTGTATCCAAATTTTCATGACATTTTACGCTTACCTGCTATTCTCTGCCAAGGCCGTAATCCTTTGTCTACCTAGTATGATTGAAAACAAAACAATTCATAGCAACAATTATTTGTGGTCAAACGACACTTGCTAAATGTACATGCTTATGCAGACGACACGCATTTAGCCTTTAAGCCGGCTGACTGTGCCTTGACTGCTAACGAAGCTATTTCTGCTATGGAGCTCTGCGTTCGCGAGAGTTAGATGTTGTGTGATAAATTCAAGATTAATGACGATAAGACAAGAGTTATCATTATAGGTGCGCGACAGCAATTGGCAAGGGTTCAAGTTGACTGTCTTACAGTTGGGGATGCTCGTGTACCGACCCTTTGTTTCCGCCGATAAAAATTTAGGAACTTGGATTGACATAGCCTGAATTTCAGACGATTACTTCGAGTCGTTTCTTTGAGGGAGTAAAAACGACTTAAAGTAATCGTCTGAGATTCAGGCTAGGATTGACATTAATCTTAGCCTACAGGATGACTAAAATATAACACATGTAAAGCCGCGTATAACCATCTTAGAAATGTCAGGCGTATAAGAAAATATTTAAGTACCAAAGCAAGACAAACATTGGTTCTTGCACTAACAATAGGACGTATCGATTATTGTAACAGTATTCTATATGGTCTTCCATACATATAACAAAACGTCAACGCCCTCAGATCTCTGCAGCAAGACTAATTTTTAATATACCTAGATTTTCACACATCACTCCAGTTTTACAGTCATTACACTGGCTTCCAGTTAAATTTAGGATAGAATTTTGAGATTATGTTAATTACATTTAAAGAAAACAGCCTACATTTTGCGACGCTACCACGGTGGTTTCCCCGCGAAATGACGTCTGAGAATAAAACGACCACAGAAATTCTATAGTGATGACGTGCCACTACCAAGATCTGGGTAGTTCTTTTGATTGGTCGTGCAGCGAGGGAAATTTTTCTTGAATCGATCAGACATACTCCCCAGAAATGGGTAAGTGACACGTCATCAGTATGGAATTTCTGTGCGCGTTCCCCCTCAGACGTCATTAGGGACATTAAGATCCGACGACGCGAAGGCAACAAAAACGTCGCTTAAAAAGTGAATTTGCGTTCTTTCAGCCTTTATCGCAGTTATTCATACCCACTTACTTTGTCAAATGTAGGGGAACCCCGGTCTGGAATTTAATTCCTAGGGACCATATCCAAGTTCAAAAAGAGAAATAAAATTTCGTCGTTGCTTTTTTATGTCTTCCATAAAACGCGAAATTATGCATTTTCACGTCGTAGTAGTGCAAAAACGGGCAAAGAAATGTACAAAAAAGCGTGATGTACGTGAAAAGTTATTGTTTTGCTTATAGAAATTATTGTTTGTTTCTTTTGACGTTCTCGTTGCCGTCCGCGTAGTTAGATCTTAAAGTCCCTATTTGGCGGGAAAACCACCTTGGTGGCGTCGCGAAGTGCCGGCTATTTTCTCAGGCTACAGAAGGAATAGCACTAGGCTCGATTGTAGCTGATTGTCGATTCCAGTGTTCTGTAGCCTGCTACAGTAGCAAGCTCTCCATTTATGGCGAGAGAAGCGAGCCGGGAGGGGAAGACTCCCCGTAATGGAGAGCTTGCTCGGAGGTTAAATGCCCTGTATTCAAATCCAGAATTTAACTGGAATGAACGTCATTCTATAAACAGTATTTGGACTGCATGGAAGGATGTCGATACCTCTATTCGTACCGTCCTCTCCCATGATGATTTTCATTGACTTTATAATTTGCATCGCCACTGGTGGGGACATGAAGGATGCGTATGTAGCACTATGGGATTTTCCACGGATATGGTTTATTATCTCCTAGTACAAAAGAGTTATCGTGTATTGGTGATAAGAAGGGAGTTGAACAATCTATAAACATTTAGTTTTTAGACAAACGCGAGGGGGACGCTTGGTTGTTGCGATAAAATTGGGGGGAGTCAGAAAATAGTAATCAGCAATCATTATAAACTGGATGCAACTATATCAAAAGAGTATACTACGACCGAAATTACAAAAATAAAAGAGTCCAAAAAACGGATCAAAACGCACACCTTTCAGCCAGTAACATTGTGGCAAAACTTACAGACGACCAAACCTAAAGCGACCTATTTGAGCAATCGGGTCAATATCGAGATTTTAATGGAACTATCCACTGACGAGTCACAATTCACTTAGGCTCTAATAATGACTTTCACACAGGCTTTCAAAACGTCAGCCACGTCTACCAATAGTCATATTCAGGACAACACTCGCCAAGACGATCATATTTTAGCTACTTATGACACGCTCCTGGGTTCAAACCATTTACCACAAACGGATTTAGAGGTCGACCGAGAGTGGACCGCGGCGAAACATTTTTCTGTGAAATGTTGTATTATTTTTAGAGAATTCTCGGTAAAATAAAATTGTATCTATATATAAATAAATAAATGCCATATGTCCCCGCCGCCCCATTCTGAACTTTCTGGATCCGCCCCCTGTTTACAGGATTTTTTATGTTACACTATAGAGAAGCCAACATTACGCAGGGCCACTAGGGCTCTTACCTCAGACGCCACAATGTACCCCCCTGCTGCACCAAAACTCTTAGTAAATGTACCCATCATGATGTCGACATCTTTAGGGTCCACTCCAAAGTAATCAGTCACGCCTCTTCCACGAGGACCCATGGCACCAATGCTGTGGGCCTCGTCCAAGTAAAGATACGCTTTGTATTTCTTTTTAAGGGCAACTACTTCTGTAAGCTTGGCTAATGAACCTTCCATGCTTAAAAAATAAAATAAAATGAAGATGTAAATTTGGATGTGAATTTGCATGCCTCGTAAGCCAAAACTTGCAGTGTTTGCCACATGACGTGTGTAAGAGGATTGATCGTATATGATTTTCTTTTCTCATGTAAGGTAATGTGGATTCCACAATGCAGCAAATTTTTGCTAAAAGAATCTCAGGGCTTTGAAATCCGGAATTCAGCTAAAGGAATCCCGAATCCGCTAACAATTGGAATCCGGAGACCACGTTCCACTGACAAGAAATCCGGAATTCATAGCGTGAAATCCATAATCCAAGAACTGTCTTGACTTATCTTCCATGGTGCGATTCTATTATCATCTCATTAATATGAATTGATTCTCATAATTCAGAATATCTTAGCAATGCAAGACTTTTTGGATCAGCGGTCGAGGTACCTGTGCAAAAATTTGGTTGTCCTATGAAAAGCTTCACGCAAAAGACAACAGGGGTTAGATTCCAGTGACTAGTGTTGAAATTGTGAATGCGCCAACATTGTGCAGCATCAGACTCCTCCACAGGTACCTCAAGAAATTGCACGAAACGAGCCAAATGACAGAGAAAGGGCGGGGAACTTCAAAGGTAGGGCAGTAACGGTAGGGACTCTCTTGGGTTAATTTCACACCTGTTTCGTCAAGGGCCTTATTTGGCCTTATTTATAGTTCCTCGTCACTTTTCGTCAACGGCCTTACAAAATTTCGTTATTTTCGCAATTTTCGTAACATTCTAGCAAAATTTTGTGAATGTAAATTCCGAAACAGAGTAAACCTGGACATATCTCTAATTACACATGGTGAAAGAGACATCCGAGGTTCGACGCAGACGAAGCAACTTTCCTTAAGACTTACCTATAAACTCCTTCAACAATTATTAAAATCTTTTTCCACGCTCTGTGCGTCCTTGGTTGTCCTTGGACAACAGCTTCCCTTAGGGTCTTCTCTAAACACTTCATATCTTCGAAAAGTATTGAAGACAAAGAAAATATAAAAAACGACGTTGCCTGAGCAATAAACGCGGGGAGTAGGGTTGTTTAATATTAAGCCATCCATTTCAAGTTGCACCCTCCCCCTTTGAACCAATCAGGACGCAAATCAGACTTTAGCAGTTGAGTCTTGTGCTCAACCTGTGCAATGGGTAGCCTCCCTTGCAGCCGTTTTTGTCTCGTAACCCAACGCTCCTCCCCCTCCCCTTGGGGAGGACCTTTGCGCGACGAGACAAAATCGGCTGCTTGGGAAACAATGCAAAAGGCGCAAACAGGCTACAGCGGACATATCGCTCCCTCTCACCGCACTTTTCAGGTGTTGAATACTTGTAAAGCGAGGGAGTTCCGTTTACGGGTGTTAAACATCGGAAAACATGGTATTCAACAGTGAAAAAAAAACGAGAAAAATGCTACAGCTCCAAGTGCTTTAAAAGCGTGCTACTTGAACCGAGCGCAGGAAAATAGGAATATCATTTATTCACAATATTTCTCCGTTTCTGATTGAATCCCACGTATAATTCATCATAACCAGCTACTGTCCACCAAATCTGGAAGAATTTTGCGATATGTGAACTGATGACCTCAATCGTACAGCAAAATCGCCAGATTATTGAACGGTTAACCGAGAAGACCTGGGGACGAGGTTGGGATTTTTGGTAGTAAATACTTATAAAGTACAAGAACGAGAAGTCCGAAGGCGGAACATTTCACTCATTTCACGAGGATGAAATAGGTGAACTATTGGCTAAAAACATAGCAAGAACCGCAAGAAGACAACTCGACCAACGACATCTGCTATTTGGAAAATATTTGCAGAACTAAACAAAGTTAACCTTTATCTCCTAAACGTGCACTATCGAAGATGAACTTAACATTGATGAAGGTAAGCATGTTTTAGCTTGTTTTTAAACTAGGAATTATTTTGAATGAATAATAAGAATGAGGCTGAATATCATCTGAAGAAAAATGTAGATCAAGGAGGGTGTTATCCTCCTCGGCCGCAGAGATGTTGTTTTGCCAATCTAAACCTCTCGCTTTTTAGCAGTTCTCGTTGCCGTCGCCGTTGCTAAAGCTCTTATCGAACCATCTACGGCGCTTTACTAATTCTTATCGAATGTTATACACCAGACATAGTTATTAAATTCATTTTACCATTATGTTTGAAGACTTTAATTTTAGCTCCTGAAAGTCTCGCTCCTAAGATGAGGGAGGTGTGGTTGAGCTCGTCACTGATGATCAAATCTCCTTTCCCCACCAGGGCGGGTATATTTGCGGAGTTGGTGGCGAATCCCATTCCAAACACCATAGCTGCAGGTTTACCGACAAAACGTGCAACCAGGCCTTTCAGCTCGTTGTGAATGGCGAGAGTGCCTGATAATAAGAATTTAAATATCACACAGATTACAATACAGAAGGCAAAAGAGAAGGCAGGGGAAGTTAAAATGGGAACTGTATATGTCCTCTGTTGGGGACACGTTTCTCATGTTAATGACCACGTTACCTATTTAGAATGACGCTATCAACATGCCCGCAAAACGTGACTCGCACGTGAACATTTTAAATAGGCACCAAGACCTACTCTGGCACCTTAAGGCGCGTTAAAGCAGATAACTTTAGGCGACTTTAGGAACATTTGCGAAAAACATTATGCGATCTAAAGGCGACGTAATACCCCAGATTAGGCCTGATGCCACGAGGTTAAATGCTGAGTACAATTAGACCGACTAGCCAACGAAAGGTATCGTGACTGACTAGAGGAACCTTCGGGGTATTCTCATCAAGTTTCCAAAGTGTCCCTCTCACTCCACAGGCTGGCAATGTGACGTAAATGAGATAAGAAAAGGATTTTACTTGTCATCATACATCTTTTACAAAGTCGAACAAAGATATCAGAAAGGGAGAAAAGCAAGCATTTACAGAGCGAAAAGATTGCTAGACAATCGGGAATAGATGCTAAAAGAAAAGTCCCATATTTATTTTTTTAATGTAAATTATTCGCTCACCATATTCATTTCTTGGGCTACAACCCGCAACACCGTATCTGCGTACCGCCTGGTCAGCGGCTTCTGAACATGGCCCAGAATTCTCGGCGAACCCAAGATAGTTGTATGATGCAAGATTCAACGCCCTGGTCTTCGTTCCAGGGTAACTGTGAATTTAAAGAAAAAGGAACGTCATCGAACATAAGACGAAAATCTTGGCACTTATTTGCGAAATGCTTCTGAAAGTTTTTTTGCACTGCCAAGTAACAGAAACTCGTGAGCATAATTTGGGAATCTAGGGACTTATACATTAATTTCTGCATAATTTGCCACTTTTCAGGAGCACAATCAGCCGAGGCCTAACTGCTGTCGTTTTGCGACACAGTAGCTCCCTTGGTGAAGTATACCGAACTCTCGCATTGCGAAAACCTCGTTATTACAGACACCCCAATAATATGGACCATTACAGATTTTTGACTGAAAAACACTCCTGTAATTACGTACTCCCGCTGGCGAAGTTACGGGTTGGGGTACTCCCTATGATGGCCTATACGGTCAAAGTGTAGAAAAATCTGTCATTTTGGTATTTAAAAGACCCTTAATTGAAATATTTTGAACAGACGCACCTTACAGTCGTATCATTTAATTTAATATTAAGCGCTGCATGTAATGAAAACAAGACTTACTGTTACTAGGTATTTGAAATGGGCACCATTTTTCTATGGAAGGAACACGAAAGGGATACTATTTTTTTGCCAAAAGTGGTATATATAAGGTTACTAAGGGGTTAGAACTCTAGGTAGAGCCTTACCATATAAAATCATGTTAAGTAGCTCCCCAGGCGTAGCTATGTAAAGCTTCTTTCTATTCTCTTTCAACATTAACAAACAACTTGAAAAAGATATTCATCCGTCTTTTATCATCGCATCCAGTTGTCTTTTTGGCTGGATTTACGATTCCTATATTGCGCATCAATCGAGCGGCTTACAACTATGTGCCATGCCTCTCTAATGCAAATGTTCTCTAAGCAAATTCTACTCAGGCCCTATTTTTACTTACGGACTCTCGCGATCGCTTTTCCACTTCAGAAACGATAAGGGAATGGGTACAAGCTTACGGCGCAACCATTTCTGGAATCGTTTGGGAGGACAAGCGTTAGTTTTGATTGGTTGGGTTGCCTTGAATACTATCAACCAGTCATAACTAAGCAGGCGTTCCCAGAAATCACTGCAGCTAAAGCTTGCATTCATCCTCCCTTGAGCTTCTGAGGTGGGGAATGGAGCACAACGATTCGCGATCGCAGAGCTGAGGGTGTCCGAAATAATTGACTGTATACGGCAAAAAGTAAGCGATCGCAATCAAAAGCGCCGAAATTAAGGTCCATTCCAAACTAGTCCCAGTACTTTTTGCCCAACTAGGCCCAGTTTCAGCGCGAGGGTCAAGAGCCTGTTAACAAGCTCCTGGGTAACCATACCTGAAGGTCCAGTTCCAGTCCTCTGATTCCCTGTCAAGCAGGTCTATCTCTCCACCTGGAACGCTACAGATCGGTCTGTTAAAGCAGTCTCTAACACGAGTATACATGTTCCGGGTGTAGAAACTCTCAAAATCAGAGTAGAGTGGTACAAAACCCTAACAAAACGAAGGAGAGGAAAAATAAATAAATAAATGCACGACATTATTTAGAAAACCAACTCTCGGCCATTTGCATAAGATAGGTTGATTATGCTGAAACCGATACGATACCGATGCGCCTCAATAGTGAGGGCCGCTCCAAAAGGGGAGAATGGGGATGGCTATTGTTCCCTTGCTTTCTACAATAGTTAAAGTTTCCTCCTTGATTTTCAAGATACAATGTTCAACGGTTCGCCTTGTTTCTTAAAAGGAAATTATCAACATTTTATGTTCTCTTATTCCCCCAGACCTCTGGAAGGTCCTCGAAGTCATTTCAGCTTAATTACTCTTCTTTGCCTTCATTGGTCAGTTAACATCATTAAAACGAGTACTTTCCGATATACCCACCTTATAGACTTTATCCGCCCAAGAATTAGAACATGGATCCGATCTGTTTACACTCTTTCATTGCGTCTTTAAACATTTCTCTAAAAACCTTTCCTTTTTTAAATTTGGAAATCATTTTCATGGCTGGTATTTTTTTTGTGTGTGATCATTGTATTTATACCAACACTGTATGTACATCATAACAAAAGCAAACCTAACAAGCACATCATGAATGCCAGCCTACCCCATCAAATTGTTCTGTAATTAGTTAAGGGTCGTGTAGCCGTGCAAAGACGAATCATTAAGTGAAGTGTAAGTCAGGCAAGCGTTGTAAAACCCTTTGGTAACTCAGAAAAGCTCAGTCTTGTGGTCGCTCATTTCTGATATAACGCTATGATAGTTCACGGTTTTTTCTGAGATTTTGACTATTTGGTAATTAGCGGATTGTTTAATAATTTTGGCACAGCTACAAAATATATCCTAACAACATTCAATCTTCTGAGAAGAAAATATTATGCAAGAAAAATTCAACTTATATCGAAATATTGCCTGAAAAAATTTGCTTTTATCAATTGATTGCATAAGTTAATTTGGCGTCCGTTAGGTTTTTCTCGTTTGCCGACGAACGCAACATCAAAAGCATTCAAAACAACAAAAGAAATATACTGTACTGGGTTTCCTTTCCGCTCGGTACAATTTCGGGAGATTTTCGTGTACGATTCAGTGACGAACGATTAGTCCTCGAGAGTGAATTCAACTCGTTGCTAATAGAGACAGTAAACGGCGACGGTAATAATTGGAAAGAGGACAGCAGCAGATTTTGAAAAACTACAATCTGAGAGCCAAAGAGTTAATGGCAGAACCTGAGCAGATCTTAAGAGAATTCTGGACGGAATTCTCAACTCTTTATCAATGATCGTAGTATTATTGTTCAAGGTCTTGCAGATAGTTGTTTAAAAACTTAATTGCCATGGGTGCAAGAGGGAACTATCCTTTTTTTCCTTTTCGCTATGACGATCTTGCTATTAAGTAATTATAAATAGAAAACTGAAAGCTCTTCGATATCTTGCCGCAGCTGCAAATTGTAAAACGATTCTCATAGCTGAGTCAACAACGAGAAGGACTAATGAATTTGAAGTGTTTCAGTTTAAAAGAGCAACAATTGTTAAAAAGTGATTCACATGTTGAAGGATGAGAATTTACACCACAACTTAGAAGTGTTTCTGTTATAGTTAGGTCCGAAAAAATATTTGCATACCATCGAATACCACATACAAAAGCCGCTTTTTCCGAACAAGCCAAAATCAGGCACGGCATTTTTATAGCTGTGATTAAAATAATTATGTTACAAATACTACTAGGACTTTAAAACGACGTTACTAATTGATATTTATGAATGCCGAACCTAAAAGTGTAACTAGAAAAACTACATAAGCGGACGGGTTCAAATCAAATACACAGCTCTAAATAAGGTGAACATGACAGTCACTTCTCATTGGAATCCGAGAGGACTCCCATATGGAAGGGACGGAAGCTCGCCGCCATATTACCATGGGTGGGAGATGAATTGCAGGTTTTGTTCTCTCTTAGATTGTTTAGAATAGAAAGGTAATATTGTCACCCAACAAGTTTAGCTTAGGGTTGTGTAGAAAGAACCCACAAAATTACACTAAACTATACCTGTTTTCCATGAATGCCGTGTATCTAACTTAATTAACTAAAATGAAAAACATACAACAAAAATAACGCCAGAGCCCTCACCAGACTTAAAATGTTTAATTCCTATTTTGCGACGAGTATTCTCGTCCCTTTTAAACGAGAGTCGCTCCCAACCGGGGGTAGGTGACTTTTACGCGCCGGCATAAATTTTAGCGATCACGCCACTTTTCAGACGCACTGTTGCGCACGCGTAAAGTTTCAAAAGTTCAAAGTTTAGAAAAAAAATTTAAATAGTATTGTGAAACAACAACAAATGAAAAGTAGATTTTAGGTACTTCTCTACAAACCACTATTCAAATAATGCAAACCTTCAATTTCCTAGTTTACCCAAGCAAAAATATTTTAAACTGATTCTTCGGCTGATACAATCGAGGTTCTCCTAGCTTGCTGCCGGGTTATAAAATTTCTTGAAGACTCTCTAATCGTCACCTGTTCAAATTATACATGAGTAGCTAAGAGCAATATTCCTTTTTCCAGAGGCCATTATTGCTTTTCACATAAATATTTCTCCATCGATCTGCATAAGGCGTTTTACTAATATTTTTGTGCTGTAACGTGTTATGTAACATAATACCGGTTTGCCAGAGTTTCACTTCCATTGTTCTCGATGTATTCAAAGCGAACGAGCACTCAAAAATCACCTCTTTCCCCAAATATAACTACCAACCTTAATTAAAATTATTTCTCACCTCATTGCCGTTTTCTTTAACTGCCTTGTATTTTTCTAATCCATGGTTACGCGTAAAGTCACGGAAATAACCGAAAATTATTAAAAAGAAATAGGAGAGATAGGTCATCACCGCGGCATGGAAAGGGGTTTCTTCGAACTCATCTCGAGATTCGGCGACATAATTTCCATTTTTTTTCCTGTAGCTAAATAATCCGTTCGATCCAGGAGCACAACCATTTTTTGAGGAGAGTTGCTTTCTCGTGTGGGCAGCTCCAGTGACCATGTTTGTTGCTGTTGCTCGCGCCAGAGTCACGCTACGACAAGACGCTTGGCTTGTCATGAGTTCAGTCAAGCGCATGAAATGAAATCAATATTAGTGTTTCAAAACACGAATACGGTAAAATTCTTCCGACTTATTTCTATGGGCTACTTTTATGGCTGTATGTTTACTTTACGGAACATTTTAATTCCATTTTTTAAAATGAATTGCATTATAAAAAGTCCTAAAGGCAAATATATAAATTGCATCATATCATTGTATTAAGATGGAGGTAAAATAAGGTCTACAAAATAATTTCCACTAATTTCGAAATGATTTGATGGCCTGCATTCTCATCCGCCATTGGGCTCTTGATATAACATTGAAAAAAAGGGCAAAATAAAAGAAGACCCTTCTGGCTCCTTATTCTGTGCTTAACCCGGGAGCTTAAAAGAGCGATGCACGCGTGAACCGGAAGTGAAGCCTATTTCGTTATGATAGGCGTTGACGCTACCACTGAGATTTGTATTGCTTTGTGTATTTACCCTTATAGAGACTAAATAGGGAACCCATGCTCTTATTTGTAAACTGCAAATGAAAATTAAACAATTAATGGTAACAGGACTGAGTGGAGTCAGTTTCTGTGGAGTTCAATTCGGTCTGTAATCATACGATTGATTGACAAAATCGGACGACTGCATAGCGTGAGTCCGATTTGTTTAATCACAGGGCGCCCACACAATATGTTTGTGTAGCCGATTGTTATTTTATAGGAAATGTACTGGATTTACCGTTTGCCTACCTATAGCGATATATCGCACACTATGTATATAAATCAATGAAAAATAAACGTTGAATTACCTTATCTGTGGTATATAGTCGTCCTTTTGCTTTAAAAGCGGTCTAATGAGCGATTTTGAAGGAGTTTGAGTTCGCCGTTGACACCTTCTATTAAGCGGACACTTTGGGAAGGTTCCGAAGGTGTCCTCAATAGAGGTTTCACTGTATTAATTCGGCCTGGGCTGTTTACAATTTTAATATCATAGGTGACGAATTACTCCTTAATTTTGGCGCGAAATTTCAGCGATAATTTGTAATTTCGCATGTGAAATTACAAAATTGTCATGGCAACCTTCCGTACGTATCAGTGTCAAGATGGCGACGAAGTTAATGAAGATGCCAGGGCATAAAAAGAGGCCTTAGAAAACCTGAACACACGAAAGAGCGCATCAAGAAGGATTCTACCAGGTATTTTGTCGAAAAATTCTGCACCTAAGCCAAATTTAAGCTCTAAACGTTCGAGAGAGTGGAGTTCTCGATCGATACGATCAAGGATAAACATATCAAAAAGCCAAGATTGCTAACGTAATTCGTCACCTACGATATTAATAGGTAATCAAATGGTATACTCTTGAAATTAGGGAATAATTTCACTTGCGTTTTGTCCAAATCCTAATAATTTCCCTTGCCTAAAGGCTCGGAAAAATTATAAGGATTTGGACAGAACGCACGTGAAATTATCCCCTAATTTTATTCGTCACCATTTGATTACACATACTTATTTTTTCTCTAATATCACGTNCACAGGGCGCCCACACAATATGTTTGTGTAGCCGATTGTTATTTTATAGGAAATGTACTGGATTTACCGTTTGCCTACCTATAGCGATATATCGCACACTATGTATATAAATCAATGAAAAATAAACGTTGAATTACCTTATCTGTGGTATATAGTCGTCCTTTTGCTTTAAAAGCGGTCTAATGAGCGATTTTGAAGGAGTTTGAGTTCGCCGTTGACACCTTCTATTAAGCGGACACTTTGGGAAGGTTCCGAAGGTGTCCTCAATAGAGGTTTCACTGTATTAATTCGGCCTGGGCTGTTTACAATTTTAATATCATAGGTGACGAATTACTCCTTAATTTTGGCGCGAAATTTCAGCGATAATTTGTAATTTCGCATGTGAAATTACAAAATTGTCATGGCAACCTTCCGTACGTATCAGTGTCAAGATGGCGACGAAGTTAATGAAGATGCCAGGGCATAAAAAGAGGCCTTAGAAAACCTGAACACACGAAAGAGCGCATCAAGAAGGATTCTACCAGGTATTTTGTCGAAAAATTCTGCACCTAAGCCAAATTTAAGCTCTAAACGTTCGAGAGAGTGGAGTTCTCGATCGATACGATCAAGGATAAACATATCAAAAAGCCAAGATTGCTAACGTAATTCGTCACCTACGATATTAATAGGTAATCAAATGGTATACTCTTGAAATTAGGGAATAATTTCACTTGCGTTTTGTCCAAATCCTAATAATTTCCCTTGCCTAAAGGCTCGGAAAAATTATAAGGATTTGGACAGAACGCACGTGAAATTATCCCCTAATTTTATTCGTCACCATTTGATTACACATACTTATTTTTTCTCTAATATCACGTAGCCTTTCTCTCAAAAGCCACATGAACCAACATGCCAAAAAGTTAACTGATTTAGGGATTACAAGTTTATTGTTTGATTTAAATTACAAATTTATTAATGGGAGCTTCGTTTTTAGCCCTGGCTAAATCTTTATATTATTTATTTTCCATTTGCAGTTTACAAATAAGAGCGTGGGTTCCTTATGGAAACGATCTGTCCGCTGGCAAGACCCTTGCTGATTGCTTTGCAAGTTGAAAGAACATCGTTTGGATTTCATGTAAGAGAATGTATGAGAAGTAGCCCCCCCCCCCGCAGGCAAACATGCAAAAAGATCACTTCCGGTTTTGACGTGCGAACGCAGCCGTATTTCCGGTTGTCTCCCGAAAAGGGAACTAAAAGCCGAAAACGGCGTCGACTGCAAACATAAGCAATAGCCCAAGGGTGGAAGGTTTTCCTTTTTCCTGTTTGCGATTATGCTTGCGCCCGTATTATGAGTGTAACGTAGTATATAATGAGTGCTAGGCGATCTAGCTCCAGTGGATCAAAGTTCCTGCCGTATTTTGCAACAAAACAAGAAATGTTGGCCACAAAGCTCCTTGTCGTACGCGAGAAAAACCACTGGTACCCAGGGTAGGAGAGAACGTTCGATCCTTATTGCCGTTGGACCTCTATATTTGGACATCGATAAAGAATTGTACACTTCCGGTTTTGAATGAAGGAGTGAATTTGTCGGCCGATTTCGGCTCCACTAAACAGTACAACATGAATCGGAAAAACCATTAGGTTTATGTATCTTGGCTGTTTCGGCCGAGCACCGCAGAAATAACAATACGTGAAACTACAACTTCTATTACATTCAAATATAATGGTAGATAAACTAGAACAGAGCTGAGCGACAGTTCACAAGGAATACTGTCAGAACGGAGGCCAGAAAAACCTACCTGAAAAAAAAAACCCTAGTAGAGGAACAAACTCTGCAGGAAATCTGGGTAGGATCCATGACTCATGCTCCGAAAAGCCTACCCTACGCAGGCTACACGACGAAGGTTATTGCCCACTATTTCATGATTACTAAGCATGTATTCCAAAAAAGCACGGTAGATTCGAAATGATTATTCAAAAACAAACGAAAAATAACTAAAATATGCTAAAACCCTCGCGCAACTCAACTCTGTGATTCAATAAATCAAATAATAAATAAAAAATAACGTGGGCTAGACGAGGTGTCGGCCTAGAATGCTTTCCCACGTGATAAACATAGGGAACTACCTAAACCAGATGAGTCATCGATATGTCAGCGGCGTCTTATGACTTAAATGATCCCTTCGACTTCCACTCACTTGATCGATATCGCAGCGAGGATGGATCATCTGAGGATCTGTACAATCGCTGACAAAAACTGCGAACAAACAGCGAACTGAATGATAGTAGCTGATCAACAGATTTTCGTGGTTATTCTCTTGATGGGGCATTGGTCTTTATCTGTCATGGATATGGAGAGCATTGCTCACGCTACCAGAGGCTTGGAAATACTTTAGCTGAACAAGGCTACCTCGCCTTCAGTCAAGATCACGGTATGTCCCACCCCTCCCTTGTTTAATCTCTTCCGCGATACAGTAACTGCATTTAATCATACTTTCTCGAGAAGAGGGGGGAGGTGGTGGGGGGGGGGGGGGGTAATTTAAAAATAACAGGTGGGAAATGGGGGGTTTTGAAAACCCCGGGGGCCCGGGGGGGGGGGGCCCGAAAAGGTTAGGGGTGGGGGGGGGGGGGGGAGGAT